CTTACAGAAGTTCTCTGGAATAACTAAACCTTACCTCAGCTTCAAGAAAAGTAGTGAAGAAAATCAAATCAGGTAGACATATATAGTAGTGAAGCATTTATTGCTGATAAATGGAATATTAAATTCCACTTACTCAGTCTGAACAGAACACGTGGATACCTTTAGCCTGCTTAAATGCTTAAAGAATCGGAATTATTCAGGTGAATATTAAAGCTCAAGTATAGCACAGTAGGTTGTATGGGCGACCTGTTACTCTGTGAGTGAAGGACTGTGCCTTGCCTTGTGTAGGCTGCAATCCAAGCTCTGCATTCAGAGACATGATTTGGTTAGCATGGAGTTCCAGGTTACATGCATTAGCTGAGTCGTTGTCAAGCATGAGAAAATCTGAAATGTTTTCACTTACTGCAAGCCAGGCTAAGATTTGTGGCTTGCTGTTTGATGCAGGTCACATCTGTGCACCCATGCTGTTGCCGTGGTTCAGCTGATGTGTGGTAGGCAGAACGGTTGACCGTGGCTCAGAGTCCTGGGTAGGTGGAGAAGGCTGTGTAGGCAAAGGTACCTGGCTGCTGGAGAAGTGGGAACAGAAGATGATGTACATGAGATGAGGTGGTGGGTTTGCAGAAGAGGCTTTGCTCGCACAATGTTAGCTTCTCTTTATCAATAACGCTTTCATTATGTGATTTGTTTGGAAGGATAGAACGCAAAGACATGGCATAAGAAGGAATTTGGGTTGAAGGAGATACAGGAGCAGGTAGTCTGACAGTTTCTGTAGAGGCTACTGGAGGCCTTAGTGCAGCACTACTTTGTTGTGTGAACTTTATCTCAGAATAATAGGCTACAATAAGGAGAGAGCGAGAAAGCAGAGAAACATCATTCTTATTTCTAGCCTTCCAAAAAGAGTGTATGAGAAAGTGCTTGGCTGTTACTTCTCCCTCTTTGCTCACAGCAGAGAAGTTAACTGCTGTGGAATGGAAAGTTTGTCTTTGTATAAAATGAAGTAGAAAAGAGGGGGAAGGATTCCTTGGAAATTTAGAAAACATATGATGACACATGCTTTCTTTAGAAGCTCAAAGATTTGTGGTGGAGACCTTATGCAACGTTTCTGTACAATTTATAATTTCCTTGAAAAAAGGAAGCTGACAGCATTGAATGGGAGGTTTCTTCACATTTTCACTAGAGCAGTGAAGCAGGGAAGTAAAAGTGTCTGATCCCTGATTTTAGACAGGAGGAGATCATGGTTATCGTGAAAGGATAACCTTTTCCCTGTCTTGCTCCTGGGAGCCCCAAGTGTCCTTGGGCAGGACACTCTTCAGCTCCTTGCTGCCAAGCCTTTGTTTCACCAGCCAGCAAGAAGAGAGAGCAGTGCTCCCCCATGCCTAGCAGAAGCTGTGGAGGGAAAATGTGTTTTCTTTTCAGCTCTGCTTTCCTCCAGTCTCGTTTCTGGGCTTGAAGAAGAAACAATCTTGCCCTCGTAACTCCAGCCTAGCTCTTATGACTAACTGAAAGAGAGCAAAGATGTTGAGAGTTTACATGCATCAACACCCAGAGTTAGGAAGTTATTAGTGTTTGGCTGAGCAGTGGTGGCTGTCTTTGCTCATGTTCTTAGTCCCCAGCAAATGGTTGCTTTCCTCCCAGAAGGGAGTTGTGTTACCTTGCTCTTGTCAACAGCCACTGTGGCTTGCCTTATGCATGGTGACGTTAAGCCACCACAGCTTGATTGTATCTGTGAGCCAAAGTTACTGAGAGGTAGAATTTCACAGTGGGTAGAGCAGGGAGTTTTTCTCCATGCTAGGAATACTGTAGGTCCCTAGGCGGTGAGAGATGACTTCTTGAAGAAAATGCACTCCTAGAAATTGTCTTTATGAAACAAAAGCCTCTAACAAGATTCCAAGCTTCATCAGATCAAAACAGTGTTTCATCTTGCCCAGCATCCTGCCTTCTTGTGGTCTCCAAACATAAATGTTGGAGCTCCTGGGTTCTTATCTTTTCTGGAAATTGTTAATTGAGATGGGTGGGAAGAGATGCTCATACTGGAGCAGCAGGAGCAAGTGAGATGTTTAAAGCTGTCTGAACAAGATAGAAGACAAAGAAAGGCAGGTGGGTTGTGTTGAAAAGATGTGGGAGTGATAGCTGAGCCCTCTCTACCCTGTTTACTTTTCCTGTTCCTGTGCCTGGAAAACGCCACAGCGTAAGTGTAGACAACAAGAAGTAGAAACTGTGATAGCATGAGAAGAGTACTTTCGTGGGTAAGTTGCAAACAAATTGGATAGTCCATGAGAAGTAAGGCATGGAGAGGACCTTCTGTTCTGTACCCAAGCACACAGAAGTGTGTTTCCCATTGCTTGCCTTCAGTCTCCTGTCTGAGAGTCTTTGTTTCTATGGTATGGCACCAGGCAGAAGAGCAGGACACTTAGTATGCTGATGAGCATTGTTTTTTGCCTATGGGGAGCCTAATCTTAATGCCTGGCTTGGCTGACCTCCTGGCTGCTTTCATATGGAAAGGAGATAGGATGTGGAGCAAGATGGGCTATAGTTTATTTTCTGGACTCATATACAGTGAAGGGAAGTGACTTGTTTTGATGTGATAAAGCTGTAGTATCCGCATTGATTGATGAGCAGGAGTAAGTTTTCATACACTGATGACATGAGAAGCAAGGGAAGCACAGAATGATATAGGGTTTGTGGTGGATTCATGGCTTGATGCCATTTAGGAATTAAAAAAAAAAGAATCAAAACCAAAACAAACCCAAAATAGTAGCTGTCACTTGGGAGCAGTTGGCTTGAGGAGTAGGCTTCTGAAATATTTCTCTTTCACCATGCACAGTTACTGTTTAAAGGGAAGTTTTCCATGGTGCGTATTGGGAATCTTGCCTTAATATGAGACCTCATTTATATCTTAATCATGCCCTTCCTTCAACTTAGTAGTAAGAAGTTACCAGCTACCATGGAGCGGAATTGAGTCCTTAATGCAAGTGTAACTTGAACTCAGTATTGACATGTTTTTGTCTATGTCTACATACATGTCTGCCATGGCAGTAGTCTTGTGATTTTATTTTTTTTTTAGAGCCGTTCAGAGCTATTCGGAACTAGGAGGTGATTGCTGAAGACTGAAGCAGGGACATAGAGTTGCTAATGGTTTACAGTATCCCTTCCCCACAGCAGAATTTGGTCTCATCTATTAGATCAGTAGATTTTTTTTTTCCCCGCACATGTAGCTGTTTTTAATAAAAACTGGAGAAAATCTCTTATCAATCATCTTTTGTTGTTGTTGTTGTTTGTTCATTTATATTGAATGCCTGGGCCTTTTTTAGCAGAATATGATTGATTCAAAACCGATAGCAGTTAAGGTTTCTGGACAGCTCCCATTTCTTGCTTGCAGCTCTGCTACATCTCAGAGGTTGGGATGCTGTTTCACATACATTGACTGTGAAATAAACTTGCTTCAGTGACATTTCCAAAGGAAGTCCCTAGTATCCCCGTAATTTCAGAGCAGGCGCTTTGAACAGAGTAGCAATTTTGTGTCAGAAGTGTGCTTTTTACTAACTCTGTGAATATTCATGCTGAAAAAATTGCAGTTTATTTGCTCAGCAGGAGCTTCAGTCTGGGCATTCTGCAACAAGATGCTGAGATAGATTTTGCTGGTGACAACAATTCTTCATTTCATCTTTTTCACCAGACCATGGGCAGGAGGCCTAATTCAAGTGAACAGAGGGAAAGTACGGAGGATAGAGGAGCTTAGGATAGAGAAGATGATCGGGACAATGATTCTACCTGGGACCAGAATGTGGAAACTGGATCCCTTTGCGGTGCCTGTCACATGATTGTGCAGACAGGCTGGGTTTGGGTAATTCTTAACTGACACATAACTTTGCGATTGTGATGTGCTTCTAACCTAAATTTGAATGTGTCTGATATTGCTTGACTAATGCTGTATGCACTGGTTTATAAAACAATTATTAAAGTAACTTTTTTCTTTTTTTTCCCCTCTATAGCACACATTCACTGTGAGGACGTGTTTGGCATCGTGGGAGAAAATTTTACTTTTCCAGTAAAAATAGACCAAAAAATAACGGAAATTATTTGGACGAAAAACAAGGATAAAGTGGCTGAATGGGAAGGGCAAAACAAAACAACATATTTTACATCTCTCCGTAACAGAGGCTTGCTTAACAAGGAGAATGGGTGCTTGACTATATTTAACTTGGAGAGCAGTGATGCTGGCACATACGTGTTAGACTACTTTGATTTGGTGAAAAAAAATTACGTCTTAACCTTCATACTGTCTGTGTTGCGTAAGTAGTGGAAGAACTGCATAAAGAATTTGCACCACGTTACTCACTTTAAGAAGGCTAGAAAGGGGATTGTTTATTTGTCAGGGAAGCAAACAGAAACAGAGGACGGCTGTTCTTTGGCTCTATTGTTAAGTTGCTTAGGCACTTTAAACAAATTTTCAAAGGTGGCATCTAATTTATGTGCCCATCATTACTCACCTTGGAATGACTTCTAGAATGTGTTTAGATGGCACACTGTGTACTTTCAGGTAGATAACTTGGTCAGCTTGCTCAAAGAGTTTGGTTATCCCAGGCATCATGTATCTACTAAAGATGATCCTGCAGGCATATTATACATGCTTGAATATCTGTGGCATCATCCTGTGCAGATCTACGCAGCTTCACTAGTAGTCTGGGAAATATATTTGACTAGTGTGTATATTAGTCCTATTGACAATGAACCATGAGGAGTTTCAAACTAGGCACTGAAGAACCACAAACAGGGCCACTTTTAGAAATACGTTTCTTACACACATACCTTACACTTACACTTTTATCTATGTACTCTCCTGCTGCTTTTATTGCTGCAGCCCTTGTCCCGTTCTAAAATTCAAGGCGGTTTATAACCAAAATAATACAGAATGTTTTCTCTCCTTTTAGCTCCCCTTTCAGAACCTGAAATAAATTGCAACATCAGTGGTGATGACCTTGTGTTAAAATGTACAGCAGATTTCCAGGAGCCTCTGAGTTACACTTGGAAGTTCAAAAGCATATCAGTCACTTGTCAGACCCAGGAAGTTTTCAACCCTATGAAGGATGTTGGTGCTTCCGAGAAAGCTGCATGTTTCATTAAATTCTCTCAAACAGAAAAGAGCTCTGAAATCTCTTTGACTCAATGCTTTCCAGATAAAAAAGGTAATGACTCTGTCAGGTTGTATACACAAGTCTGAGAGGCTAGGTTGGGAAGCAGCATGGACTTTGACTGTAAGATTTCTACTCACTTCTCAGGAAGTTGAATTTAAAGAGTAAAAAGCATCAGCAGTGATTTGTCTGCTAAAAGTGTGTTTAAGGTTGGTGAAAGGTATGAGGTTGACAGTTTGGTTCCCCCCAGAAAGATACTTTTTGCAGGGATCTCAACAGAATAAAACCTTCAGCTGTGACTTGAAATGAGTAATAATAAAGAGGGAGACACACTTAGAAGTTCTCTTCTGAACCTTCTGGCCTTATGATTTATACTAATGACTGTTGTACTCTTTACACTGCTTTCCATGAACTGGAATGAAACTATTCAGTCATTTCAAGTGAGTCATCTAGCAGCCGTTAGATAAAATAATTTCTCATCTAGCATGTGCATAAGTCAATGAGCATACTTCTTTTTGTCCTTCACAGACAGATATAAAAAGGAGAAAAGAGTTTTTCTGCTGTTGCTTATTGCTTATTGCTTTGGGACAGCCTCAGCTGAACATCAGGTCAGCTTGAAGCTTGCTTTTTTTTTTTTTTTAAACATGGGATGAGAACACATTTGGAACCATCTGGTTTGTAGGGTGTGTAAGGCATCCCTAACTGACAAAATTTCCCACTTCTGTGCAAAAGTAATTTTCATGGTTTACCAGTATAGAATTCTTCCTCCTTCACTGGAATTATGTGTTGGAGACTTGTTAGAAATGGCTGCCAGGTGCCCGTCAAGCTGCTCTATCACTCCCCCTCCTCAACAGGACAGGGGGGAGAAAATATGACAAAGGCCTAGTGGGTTGAGATAAGGACAGGGAGATCACTCAGCAATTACTGCAACGGGCAAAACAGACTTGACTTGGGGAAAATTAATTTATTGCCAATCAAAATCAGAGTAGGATAATGAGAAACAAGAACAAATCTCAATTACTGTCACAGACAAAAGAGACTTGACTTCAGAAAGATTAATTTATTGCTAATTAAAAATATAGTAGGTTAGTGACAAAAAACCTCAAAACTAAAACCACCTTCCCCTCACCCCCTTTCTTCCCAGACTCAACTTCACTCCTTCCTTCCTGACTTTTCTGCCACCTCCTGCCACCCTTGAGCAGCGCAGGGGAATGGGGAATGAGGGTTACGGTCAGTCCATAACACTTTGTCTCTGCTGCTCCTTCTCCTCATGTTCTTCTCCTACTCCAGTGTGGGGTCACACTCAGGGGATACAGTCCTTCACAAATTTTTCCAACGTGGGTCCTTCCCACGGGCTGCAGTTTTTCAAGAACTGCTCCAGCGTGGGCCCTTTCTACAGGGTGCAGTCTTTCAGGAACAGACTGCTCCAGCGTGGGTCCCCCACAGGGTCACAAGTCCTGCCAGAAAACGTGCTCCAGCGTGGTCTCCTCTCTCCACGGGTCCACATCTCTTGCCAGGAGCCTGCTCCAGCGCGGGCTTCCCAAGGGGTCACAGCGTCCTTTGGGCACATCTGCCTGCTCCGGCATGGGGCCCTCCACAGGCTGCAGGTGGATATCTGCTCCGGTGCCTGGAGCACCTCCTTTCCCTCCTTCTTCACTGACCTTGGTGTCTGCAGGGCTGTTTCTCTCACATATTCTCTCTCCTCTCTCCCAGCTGCTGTTGCTCAGCAGTTTTTACCATTTCTTAAGTACATTATTGCAGAGGCGCTACCACCATCGCTGATGGGCTCAGCTTTGGCCAGCGGTGGGTCTGTCTTGGAGCCAGCTGGCACTGGCTCTGTCCGACATGGGGGCAGCTTCTGGCGTCTTCTCACAGAAGCCACCCCTGCAGCCTCCCTGCTACCAAAACCTTGCCGTGCAAACCCAATACAAGATATTTGCTGAAACTTCATTTGGCTGAGATCTGGCTTGGCCTTTCATAGGCCAAAAAATGGAATAGCCATTGCCTTTCAAGCAGTGATGTGCCTTCACTGAACTAAGGTACTTACCATGTAACTTTCCTGGAGCTGGCTTAGGGTTTTGCTATTAACTGACTCTGGTGCATTAATTTCTTGAGGTTACTTTTTTAAAAACAAATAGCTATAAAACATACTCAGGGTTGTATTTCTACTGCAGTAGTGTATCATACAGTTGCTTTTTAACTAATCGTTCATTATTTATTTTACTTTTTTTAAAGGAGACAGCTATCACAAAAGAAGCAGAGGCGGTCTTATTGCGGCTTTTCTTCTCTTCATTATAGTTGTAGGAATACTAGCATTCCTATACAGAGGAGGTATGTATAGCATTTCCTACTTGAGCTTAACATGCTTCAAGATTATGCTGATCTAAGGTTCTGTAGAATGTATGAAAGTTTCTGACCGTAGGATGTATTGTAAATACAGTAGTAGAAACAAGTACAACTTAGGCGAAGGCTAATGGATTTGAAGGAAATATACTGAACTTTCCTGCACTCAGACACTGGGCTCTGTGTACTGGGAAACAATGTAGTTTGTATTTCTCCTTCAGACCGGGTCTTTCATTTACTGTGTGTTTCTACTTACCAAGTATCTATGGCCTCTCCCATTCCTACTTTGAGTGTGCTTTCACTGCCTTTTTTTTTGAGAGGATCATAAAGCTGCCCTCAAGATCAGTTTTATTGTTGTGGGACAGGCTCATACCAGGGCCTGTTGAATACCTTATGCTGAGTCTAATCTGATAACTCGGTGTGCTCAACTGATACATAGGGACTTCTGTGACTCCTGTCAGCCTGTATTGCCACCATCTTGCAGTTCTAGATTTGTTTCTTGGTCTGTCCCTACACTGAATTCGAGTATCTATTTTGTAAATCTGACAGCTTATTTGGAAATGGTAATTGTAGGCTATCACTGTGTATCTCTTGCTGCCACCTTTTTAGGTTAATATGTCAGATTGTATTCTGGCTTGAAAAAGAGGTGCACGCCATCTCTTCTCTTTGTGTTTGAGTCCCAAACAGGAATACGTTGCTTCATCCTAAGAGTGCTCTGCATGGAAAATTCCTGTTGGCTTCCAGGTGGGGTCACCACTTGGGGGTGGCTACAGGGTGAAGAGCATGCGATGCATCTCCTCTCTGGGAAGAACTAATTGATGATATTCTGGAGGGAGGCTCTGATCAGAGCCTACATAGATGTATATTGCATGTGGACCTTATGCTTTCCTGATCGTTCTCCATTTAGTTTCTGTTGGCATGGAATCATAAAATAAACTAGGTGGGAAGAAATCTCTGGAGGTTTCATCCAACTTGCTGCTCAAAGCAGGACCAACTTCAAAGCTAGATCAGGTTGCTCAGGGCCTTGTCCAGTCAAACTTTGAATAATTCCAAGGATGGAAGTTCCCCAGCCTCTTTCAGCATGTGTTCAAGCGCCGAGTCACCCTTGTGGGGAAGGATATTTTCCTTATTTCTGTTAGGGATTTCCCTTTTGCAACTTGCAGCCATTGCCTCCTGTCTTTTTGTTCTGTACTTCTGAGAGGAGTTTCCTTTGTTTTCTATGTAAGTTAGCTGTAGACTGCAATTAGCCATCCCCTTAGCCTTCTTTTTCTTCAGGCTGAACAAACCCAATTCTCTCAGTACCTCCTTGCACAGCTCCTGCCCCCTAAACACCTTGGTGGACATTTGCTGGACTAGCTTCAAAATGTCAGTGTTTTTTCATTAATTGGGAGCCTAAAACTAGACACAGTACTCCACAATGTGGTGTCACAAATAATTCTGCTAACACAGCCCAGTATCTGGTAGGCTTCTACTGCAAGGGCACATTTCTGATTAATGTTCAACTTATCGTCCACCAGGGCTTCCAGGTCCTTTTCTGTAGAGCTGTTTTCCAGCCAGGCAGAGCTCAGCCTGTACTGCTCCGTGGGGTGATTTCAAGAGGTGCGGGGCTTTACGTTTGCCTTTGAACGTCACATCTTTTCTGCCAGCACATTCTTCCAGGTTGTTGAAGTTCCTCTGAGTGGCAGCCCTGCCTTCCAGCATGTCTCCTACTCTCCCCAGTTTGATGTCATCCACAAACTTTCTGAGGGTGCCTTCTGTGTGCTTATCCATGTTGGTGGTGTTGAACAACACTATGCTCGGTACCAACACATGAAAAATGTCACTCATAACTAGCCATCAGTTAGACTCAAAACAATTCGACTACTTCCCTTGAAACAGCGAAGGTTTGACCATGCTAGAAAATAAACTTGTTATATATCAGTAGGATAAGCACTGCATAGGTATAATCAAACAGAAGATGTGATTTGCTGATTTAAGAACAAGACTCAGAGTCATGAACTGCTAAACTCTGCTTTAGATTTGGTTAGATGTGTTCTGACTTGTTGTTGTTGCAGGAGGCCTGTTTTGTTGATCTCTCACTGATTGTCTTTGCTCCAAAACAATATTTTACTGTTTCTTCTTTCCCCAAGTCAAGTATTCAGTTGTACATCCTCAGTGATTTTTTTTTTTTGTTTGAGTTGTGGGGGTGGGGAATGGATAGAGGCTCTCAGTTAGTTTCCAAAGGCACAAAACTTATTTTTGAGTAATTTCTCCAGGTATTCTACTTTTTCTGGTGCAGGTAGAACTGCACCTGGAACAGGAAGAGCTGCTCAGGAGAACAGTCCAGCGCATGGCTCAGGTAAGAGAGCTAGGGTGTCACAAATGTGTGGAAATCAGACTATTGCTTTAATTTGGTCTAGGCTTGTAAATTTTTTCTCTGTGGCAGTATAGTCTTTCATTGGAGAGGTAAAGGAGTTAAGTTTTCTTTCAGGCTTTAGTTGTTTTACAGAGTGTAGTTATTTTTTCCAGGTCATTAATACATACTTTCTAAAATAAATAAATTTCGTTGTAGGAGAATGTCAGTTACTTTGCTCTGCGGACAGCCAACAACAGCCTAACTCAGACAGAGGTAAGAAACCTGTATTGGGGTATAGATGTTTTTAAACATCTGCTCTTGGTTGGAGCAAGGAGTCTGATCTGCTCTTTCCTTTTTTCCAGTGTGTAAGCTTTTGAGTTGATCTTCAGTGTGTGCACACGTGGCCTCAAAGTCTCAGCTGAGGTCCCATATTGGATAATCATAGGGACCTGCACTTAGTGGATGTGTTAGTGGGGCTCGCAGAATTACTGACGGTGAATGGCATGAGATTTGCCTGGTCAGCAACTCTCTTTGGAGATGAATTCTGCTTCTGACAATGGAGAATGTGGGCTGACCTCAGGATGAGGCCTGGAAAAGTGCACACTATAGGGCAATCTGTCTGTTAGAGAACTTACTCTTTACCTGTTTGGTTAGGGCTGGTTTACCTGCTGAAATGAGGTTAATATTTCTTCCATCTCTTTTAATCTTACCTGCCTGTCTCATTTATATAAACTTCTTTCAGAAATTTGGTTGATTATTTTTGTAAACCCAGTATTCATATCAAGTGCTTAGGGCTGGACGTGAATGTAATACATTGCTCATTTCCAGTGCCCCCCATGGCAATTTCTTGCTGGCTTATCTTGGAAATTGGTCAGCTAGCCTTTTTCTCTGTGCATTGAATTTGACTTAGAAAGCTGGTGGTTCCAGTGGGTGGGGGTTGATGCTGTGCATGTAGCAGTAGATTTAATGATGACCGTTGAAGGTAGTATCACATCAGACTGGCAGGAGTTTGCTGTTAGTTTACCTTGGTTGTATCTTGAAAATCCATCCAAGACAGGCACGTTGCTCGTCTGATGTGCAGAACTCTGGTCCTTGCTTTTGGTGCATGACTCCGGTGCATGCTTACATCCTGTAGGTCAGGTTGCAATTGTCTCCTTTTCTTTCTCTAACCCCTTTCAGTTGTTTCAGGAAAAAGTCTGTTAGCAGCACCTTTTGAGTCACTTTTACTCCATTTTGCAGGCCTGTCTTCTCCTTGTAACAGTCAAGATGAGGGAAGGAGACAGTCAGTGGAGGAACTTCTTACCTCTTTCCATTAGTTACCAGTCTGCTGCCCACTGATGATTTCTTTACATGATGCAGGCAGTACAGATCCTCAGGGTTGTCTGCATTCCTGTCTTCCTGTCCAGATCTCCACTTGTGCTTCTGCTGTCCATTCTAATCCTCCCCCCTTTCCCCCTTTCCCCC